CACTGGAGAAGGAAATGGCAACCCACTCCAGTATCCTTGCCAAGAAAACCCCATGGACAATGTTAAAAGGCTAAATGCAAAGAGAGATCTCTTTGGAGAAGACCCTGATGCTGGGAAAGATTGAAGGCAAAAGGAGAAGAGGACGGCAGAGGATGAGATGGTTAGATAGCATCACTGAAGCAATGAGCATGAAACTGAGCAAACTCAGGGAGGCAGTGAAGGACAGGAAGGCCTGGCGCAATATGGTTCATGGGGTCACGAAGAGTCGGACACGACTTAACGACTAAACAACAACAACAAGAGTCCCATATACCACAATTGGAGAAGGTTGCCCTGAAGATTACATGTCCCCAGCAGGTTTTTTTCCCCTCCCATTAAACCAGTGTTTCTCAATCTTGGCGATTGTGAGTCGGGGGGGCTTCCAGCAGCGAAATCCCCAAGCCAGCATGGCTGGCTGGGGAATTCTGGGAGTTGAAGTCCACGCATCTTAAAGTTGCCACAGTTGAGAAACACTGCATTACACTGAGATCAGCTAAATTCATCTAACCTTTTAAAAACTCTAACACCAAATTAGTAAAATATTTGTTATTAACACAGAAGGTTTTTTAAAAGTTAAAGATGAAATTTCAGCAAATATCTACATCTTTGGTCAACCGTTTAACATTAAGCAATCAGCAAGGGCTTTGGTAATGATTAGGAATGCTAAAAACTCAGTACACCTGTTTTGAAGAACCTGATCTAGGATAATAATCTAGAGGACCATTGCCCCTTTTCAGTACTTACTGGTCTTGGCAAAGACAGGTTTGCTCCATACCAGTGGTAGAGGGCCCTCCACACTGGTTCTGGGACAATTTCATAATTTTTCCCTTGAATTAATTGGGGTGATGGTTTTAATCGCCCACCTTCCAAAGTCAATGATGGAGCCTTAAAAAAATTAAAAGAAAGCAACATCAGATTCTGGGTTTCTCCTTTATCCAGCTTCTTGAAGCTGTTCCATGCAGGAAGATTAAATATCCTAAACCAAGTAAAGAATTAATGCACATTAATATAATAGGTTGAGCCACAGTAAGGAGACCATCCCATTTCACAAAACAGATGTCATCACTAAAGGGGTTTGGATTATTTGCATACTTTGTTCATCATGGTGACTCTGCTGTTTCTTCTGGCAATGAACCACTTCTTTCTAACCATGGAGATGCAAGCATTAGCAAGTGTATGATACGTTAAGAAATGGGCCCTGTGCTGACCTATTCCTTTCTCCCTCCCCATCTCTTTTTCTTGAGCATTGTCTTCAGGCTGCAATCCTGTTTCACTGCTTAGTCTTTGGCTAAAGAGCAGCATTTAAATGAATCAAATAAGCTAAAAATAAGATTTGCAAATATCTTGAACACAACTTGTTTAGTGTGGGACTCAGCTGCGCAAATTTAAATTGTACTGCAAAGTTAGTTCTCATCACTCCATCCAAACTGACTACCGATTCAGTTCCAGGCCCTTTCATGGAGCTGTCAGATATTTTTAATGCTCGAAATACTTGAAAAAGAGTGTTTTCCTTACCCCAGTCTGCCCTTGCCTTAAAATAGGAGCTGAACACTTGCAGCCCTTCAGATGTTATTGATCTATAACTTCCAGGGTTCCTTCTTCCAAAAGTAACAATCAGGGTTGTTGGAAACTGTTATGACCACAGAACACCCATCCCTGCTTAAGATCCTCCACTGTTGAATTTTCCCAAGTAACTTCCTTATGGAAGAGGAGAATGGAGTGGCAGGGGACGCTGCTCTCCAGCATCAAATTACCATCCCCACACTGCCAGTTTAAGATGCTCCTTTTGACCCAGATATTTTAATCCTCATTATTTCTCAGTCTACCATTGCAGCTGAAATTTTACTGCCATTTTATTGAGGATGCCAGAAAATAGTTTATTCTCTATCAGGTTTTAAGAGATTCATTTGTTCCTTATACCACCTAGAAATCTCATGCGATGGAGGGGGAGCAAATAGATTTCATGGTTGTATCAGGTTGTGACAGTTCTTCTCCCATCATTTTCTAGCAGGGATAGCACGCCTTCCCAGAAGGATAGCCACATTTAGCTCACTTACAAAGCTCTTAAACACTTACGGCATCTTAAACAACTAACAAATCTATAAGGGCAGAAGGTTTCATGGAGCAAAGATGCATGGACAATAGTCCGCCAAAGCTTTAACACCTCAATAAAGTTATTAGAAACACTACTGTTTTTACTTATAAGACACCTACCTTCACGGGATCTTGTGTTACAAGTGGCTGATTATCAATAGCTCCAGGCCGCTGTGGATTCAGCAGCTGCAGTAATATATTCCCATTAGATGCAAGGAGGCACTGATTGTTATTGTCCGAAGAATTAAGCTGTCGAGCAAAACACATCTCGGCATTGGGGGTGGTGGCATAAAGAAAATCTGGAAGATAAATGAGATTGAAGCAAAAATAAGCATTAAATATGCAGAGTTAAGGGGTGAATAATCAATAAGGAGGGTCTCCAAATTATAATGAGTAAGTAAGATTCAAACTGATCCTTTGAAAAATAGGAATGGCAGATCCCATGACTCAGGGCACTCATGAAATACTCTTAGGTCTCCAAATTATTTTGACTTTCCTAATTTCAGAGAAATCTCTATTATGTAATGTCTCCAAACTCATTTTTAGCCATGAAAAGAAAGGTATGAATTCTCAAAATTCAACCGCAGTCTTAAGAGCACTTCTACAGCATGCAGATGAGGCTTATTTGAAACTAATAAAACACTTTCTATCAATCTACAAACATAAACAATAGCTACTGACTTACACAGGAGAGAAGAAAGGAGCTATTTACTCAAGCTAATTCCGCACAACCGGGGTACAGTTGCTCCTTTCGGAGTCCCAAATTGCAAACTGGTTTGTCTTGGTGTAATGAAAACTAAGCTAACTCTTATCTTCATGCCAACCACGAAATGGATAACATATAACATGGGACTAGGACATTAACAATGAATCTCACTCTTTTCCAAATCTCTCTCCAAAATCTACTTTTTCCTGGAAGATTCGGGCACAGCATCCTAATAACCCAGTCTTCCAGAAGGTATCATTGAATAAAATTCTTCCTTCATTTACACTATATTGCCGTTTCTCTTCTCCTCCCTTCCTCTACCTCTACTAGAGTGATGGACAACCTGGGGTCCTCCAGATACTTGGGATACACAGGACTCCCATCCATCCACTACGACCAGTGGAGAACATCAAGCAGCCTTTTCCTAGCCTATTGCCTCTAGGCCAGGGTAGGAAACTAGTGGCCCTCAAGGTACTGCTGAATTATAACTCACCCCAACTCTCACCACCAGCTATACTGACTTGAAAATGCTATGAGTTATTGGTTCAATAACATCTGGAAAACCACTTTTTATAGCCAGTGAGCTTCTTACAGCAGGATCTTGGCACCTCCTTCTTCTTCTCAGAATGCCAATTTTTTTTTCCTATTGCTTCATATGTCCACTTGATGCTTCTGTTTGAAAAAGTGCATCTAATCCTTCAATACATCCTATCTGGTTTGGCAATTTTCACACATTTAGCCTACATTCAAAACCCTTTAGAAATAACACAGTTTGTCAGGCAATTGTTGCTTTTGGGGTTGATGCTTACTGCTGTTAGTTGTCTCTGATGCTTCTGATGCAGTAGAAATATTATCTGAAAACTTTTCTTCTGTGGCACTGAAGTTATTTGAAGCACCTGTTTTGTCTTCTCCCTGCTCTGACATGGGGGTCCCAGGACTCAGGAGAGAAGTCTTACCTCCATTTAAGATAGGCAAAGGCTCTATCGTAACAGGACTAGCATCCTAAATTGGAAAAGAAAAACGGAACTGAATTGTGGGGTGAGATTGTAGCACAGAAAGGCCCAAGTACTTCCCATGCCCATTTCTTTGGAGTGGAGGGCTGTGTATGGGATTGTAAACTTGCCAAAGACCTTCAGTTTTCATTGGTTAAGGGGGACGAGAGGAGAAGAGACTCAAATGATCAGCTTTCACAAAGATAAAACAAGAGTTCCTATTGGATTAAACTAAATTAAGTGGTCCAAATTGATGGCTGCTAGGAGTAGATACAAATTCCATCATTTGATGGATAATACCAATGAAAGCCTTAAAAGGTGAAGGTAGCATCCATGGGAAAATTGGTCCAGTGACTATAGAGAAGCACTTCTTGGATATGTTTTTGTGACCTTAAGATCAGAGAAGGAATCCATGGATTCAAACAGAAGCAGGAATTGGTCTAAAGAGAAAGTCTTTAGAAATCTGTTTTACGGGGCAGAAGACTTCATGGTTCCTCACTCAACCCAATGAACAGAACCAGGGGTTGCTTCTCTCTCAATCCAAGGTCCCTTCCAACCCTATGATTCTATGATTCAATCACCAGCCAGCCTAAAGATGGCAAGGTTATCCAGAAATCTGCCAGCACAATACCAAGTTATGCAGGGTTCATGATCACTTTACTGGCAACCTCATGGATTAAGCAATAGAGACATTTGCCTACAACACTCAGGATTGTAGGTTCAAATCCCTGTGTTACTTTGGGGAAGTTTATGGCTCAAGTATATGTTTCACAAGGCTGAAAGTTCAATTACCAGGAATGCTAGAGAGAAATTCTGGCTGGGATTCCTGAAGGGCTACTGTCGGCTATCTAGGCCAGTTTTCCCCAAGATGGCTCCCTCTAGTAGTGTGGACCTATAGCACCCAAAATCTCCAGCAAGCAGAATTCTGTGAATTTAGTCAGAGCACCTGGAGGGCACCATTCCTCCTGTCTCTGCTCTAGTCACATCAAATATATCTAAATCAGTGTTTCTCAACCTTGGCTAATCTTACCTGTTGATGCGTTTATTTTTTATCCAATTCTCTTCTCTAACAGACGTGCGGCGTTCTTGCCGGGTATCATGGCCAGCGC